TCTCTCTGCCCCTCTCTCTGCCCCTCTCTCTGCCCCTCTTTCTGCCCCTCTCTCTGCCCCTCTCTATGCCCCTCTCTCTGCCTCCCTCTCTCTGCCCCTCTCTCTGCCCCTCTCTCTGCCCCTCTCTCTGCCTCCCTCTCTCTGCCCCTCTCTCTGCCCCTCTCTCTGCCCCTCTCTCTGCCCCTCTCTCTGCCCCTCTCTCTGCCCCTCTCTCTGCCTCTCTCTCTGCCCCTCTCTCTGCCCCTCTCTCTGCCTCTCTCTCTGCCTCCCTCTCTCTGCCCCTCTCTCTGCCCCTCTCTCTGCCTCTCTCTCTGCCTCCCTCGCTCGCTCGCTGGGACGGTGCAGCGGGCAGCCCACGCCAGGCGGAAGAAAAAAAAACGGACCTCGGCTCCGGTTGCGCCGCTGGCAGCTGACTCCCAATTAGTCGTCGGCGTTCCCGCAGAGCCTTTATCCCCCCCCAGCCTGCCCACCCCCATACCCACCCCGGCAAGTTAATTAGCGTAGCGTTTTCTCGAATAACAATCTGACAGATGCTCTCGCAAAAAGATGAGAGCATTTTTTTGGGCCGACCGTGCAGCAGGACGGCGGAGTTGGTTTGGCTTTCTTTCAATGTCCACTTCGCTGGATTAAAACAAAAATGCGTAAGAATCCTCGCGAATACAATGATCCGTATTTGTTTTTGGGCGAGGCCACGTGGTGGTTCCATGCCACAATTCCTGTGGAGGGTTAATGATTTAACATTTTTTGAGCATAAAACGACCACAAGTCCTAACCCCCCCAAAAAACAAATATGAATCACTCGGATTGTTTTTAATCCCTCCCATTGAATTTTGTATTCATCCGTAAAAATTAATTCCTTTCATGCGAGTGGTAGAGTGCGGATAAAACACAAATAGGGATGAGTCTGCTGCCACTTCTGCATCGCTGCTCTTCTCATACTCGCACGAAGATGCGGACAATGGGAAGACGCCGGGACAAACTTCCTAGCATCTGGCTTCCGTGAAGCCCGTTGGACAAGCGCAGCGGACACGGATTGATGATTTTGCAAAGTAATTTCTGGGTTAGTAGTCACAGCAACGAGTTCTAGGTGACTGCCATGCACAGTAGCAGCTGACCATGATGATTAACATCAATCTGAAGACAATGATTTTGCCATCCATAGTAAGAGCTGATTATGATGATTAACATCAATCTGAAGACAATGATTTTGCCATCCATAGTAAGAGCTGATTATGATGATTAACATCATTCTGAAGACAATGATTTTGCCATCCATAGTAAGAGCTGATTATGACGATTAACATCATTCTGAAGACACTGATTTTGATTCTGAAGATGACGATGGATGCTACTGATGCTACCCCAGGAGATCATTGCCGCCTTGTGTGCTGTGTGCAGCCACCCACAAAGAAGATGCTGACCTAAATTTTGATTGAAAGCTTTCGTGACTGCAGGAATTCATATTCTTGGTTCTTTCGGTAAAGTCACGTAGAAGGGAAACAATATTATTTTATTGTTTCCCTTCTACGTGACTTTACCGAAAGAACCAAAAATATAAGATGCTGACCGTGATGATCATATGCCCAGCCCGGCTGGGCCAGCCGTGCTGCTGCGGCGACTGCGTTTGTTTTATGGCTGTAGGAAATGTCTTATTTGTGCCTTTGGTCTTCGGCGCATTTCTCCGTGCCATAATCACAGTGGTCGCTCCGATACGCACCTTTGGCCGACACAGTGCTGCTTCTGCTAGTGATGCAACTACTTCACGTTGCTTTGATGTGTCACCTGTGACTATGAAATGCCCATGCCAAATGTCACGGTCGAAGTCTCCTCTCCCACTCCTCCAAGCGTGCAGGGGACTTCGCAAGCCTTAAGACAAACCCACACAGATACGCAGACTTCACGCAGAAAACATACACACTTGCAAGATACCCCCTATAGCCTTAACAGACTGTTGGGGCAAGTGCTGTTAGCGAGAAGCGCCTGTAAAGGCCGGCACAGCATACGGGGGGATGGGTGGGTGGCAACCACGCCCGGCCGCCTTTGTCTCCCTGGTGGCGATGTTTACTACACACTGCACCAGATACTCATTTTAGCCCGAGTCGACCTAGGAGAGGCCCCGGAACGGTTCAGATAATCGACACTGACAGACTGCATGCATGCACAAATTTAATACAGACACGTGGACGGACAGGTTATAATATATTATTGTATGTTTACAATATAATATTGTATATTTACCGTACGAGTGAGAAAACTCAAGATTAGAGTATTTGGCTGCTATACACTTCCACGTGATAAGCCACTTCATTAGGCTATCATTTGGGGTCAGGCCGCTTCAGCGGGCCTTACCTGGTTAAATAGATAGAGGGAAGACTGGCGTGGCAGACTCTGCTACACGAGATGGTCTTGAACCTCCGATTGGCACGCTTGGTGGCCACGTATGGTACGAAAGAAGTTCAACACAGAGTACACTCACACGTACAAACAGCAGCTCCGCGGACGTACACGGTGCCAACAGAGGGCCACTTGCGGCCTCCTCGGCCACAAAGTCAGCAAACACCACCAATACCAATCCCCGCCATTCACTACTAAGTGACGGTGACGTCACCACGGCGCTTGTGCCAGGCCAGGTGCACTTTGAGGCTCTCACGTGAAGTGTCTAAGGCTCGCTGACAGGAGGTTTTTGGACAGGCCCAGCAGATACCATGGGTTGGCTGACTGGTAGATGCACCACACCAGCTTGTACCCCTTACTGTACCAACTCGCTTCATTTTAGCTACCCCGGCGCTCCGTTCGTTGTTGTGAGTGTCGCTCCTCTGCCCTCCTTGTTGCTGGAGGGCGACTGCCTCCAACTGCCCAGTAGCAGCGTTCTTCACGAGCCTCCTCTAGCCACGACCACCACCACCGTCGTTGCACGACTGTCCCTTTCAAGTCATCACAGGGAAACGTTCAAATCATTAAAATGTTCTCAAAGAAATTGTTTTTGCAAAGCTGAAAAACCCATCGCCCTCCGCTGAAGGGTGCCGTCGATATATCCACCGTGTAGTGCATTTAATAATTTGTATATTTACTTTGACGCTCCTCTTCTCTGAATCTGTCTCACCGGGGACTCTAAATACGCACGTGGGGTTGGATTTGCATTACGATTGGACGGCCCCACCCCCCTTCCCTCTGTCCCTGGCTACCCAATCCCCCCCCCCCCGCACGAGGAGGAGGAGGAGCCGGGGGCACCGCGCACGAGTGGCTAGCAGTGGTTTCGTGAGGTTTCCCGACGGTGGCGTGCCCTATGGTCGCCCACCCACCCTTCCCACCGTGTTAACGACATCGCGGAGTGGCGCTGTGTTTATTGAAGCTGTGCAGTGTCCGGCAAGAGAGCGTAACGCAACAATACTGGTATACCAGATTTCGGCGCAAATCAAATCCTGCCATCCAAAATGAAATTCCCAGATTACCAAAGACCGCAGACCTGCCATTCCAAGATATATAACACTTACTTTGGAACCACCTAAGAGAGTATTCTATTTAAACTACATTGTAAATAATAATGTAATAAGAGTTCCACACAATACCGGTACCCGACCTCGGTATATCCACTGGTGGAGCCAGTGGGGGGTGGGGGGGTGGTGGCACGTGCCCCCCCAATGATCCGATCTAAATCCCTAATTTACATCGGATCATTGGGGTTTATTAGTAATAAATCAGCATTTTGCGACCCCCACTGCCACTGTGTAGCATATTATTATGTGCCAGGGACTCTATGAGATGATAGGACAATAGTCTGAGTCCATAATAGGCAATAAGTAACGACAAAGCAGTTATCAGTGACTCACAGAATTGTGCGCAGTTGCGTATACAGAGTCCACGACTTCCCTGAAGGCATCAACACCTTCAGCGAGCGCTATGCCGATCACACAACGCGGTTTGAAATCGACCCTCGATCGATGGCTGCGCCATCGCCGCACATGCATCGAATAAAAAGCAAGGGACAAGTCCTTACTTACTAACAACTCCTTACTTACTAACAACTCCTTACTCACTAACAACTCCTTACTTACTAACAACTCCTATCATATTTCATTGCTGGAGGTGTTGCCCCCCTAACTGAAAATCCTGGCTGCTCCGCCATGGGGTATATATCAATTCCTTCCGCACTGAAAGCGGATGCCAATTCCCAGACTGCCCGTGGTCAAACTCAGATAGGCGGCATCGCTCTAGGTGTGGGACTAGCGGTGGCACGCACCACGGCTTGCTGCTGAGCTCGCTACAGGAACAGCACCGACTGATCGATACCCCCCTTCGCGAGACACCTCTCAGAACTCTCCCGTCCCCCACACAGTCTCTCGCCAAAATTCCACGATCATCATTCTCTTCCTCTTCTGCTGCTGCCTGGAGTACATCTTTTACTCTCCGCGAAAAGGCCTCTCTCTTCATCCCTTCCTCGCCGTAACTTAAAAAAAGGTAACTGTCGATTATAATTAAATAATAATCGTCATCATCATCATCACGATCTATGGGCAGATATCCCGTAGGTGTCCACCGCAAATTCCATCCTTTGTTTCCACTTCCCTCTCTATCTTGCAGTGCCGATACTCAAGTGGTGGCCGCGTCTTTCTGGCACCGAATCTCTTTTTGATGTCATCGTCGTCAAGCCATTTCTCTCTGTTAAGAAGTTTACTCTCTTTCAGATTCCTTCCATTTCCCCCCGAACAACAACAACAAACAAGAACAATGCTTTTCAATAATAGCTCGTTAATTTGTCGGCCTTAATGCAGCGGTGGGCTGGTGGGCCGCGTATTTTTGGTGGTGGCCGGAGAGGGGTGAAGGGTGAGGTGGTTGGGCCCGTCCCCTGTAACCATCCGCTTGGAACAGCAGCTTCTCACTGGGTATCCACGTTTTTGCTCGCGCGATGCAGTTTTTTGTTTGCTTGCGCCTCGTGAACGCGCGCGCTCTCACGAGGCGCCCATGGCGCGCCGTGCGTGCGTGCGTCTCCCCGTCTGTAGGTACCACGGAGCGAGTGGCGCTCATCCAGGGCGCCCCGGACTCCCTCAACGGGGTGCACTGCTTCATCGCCGACAAGATCCGCGAGATGCCCACCGCCAGCGGCAAGTCGGAGGCCATCAGCGTCCTGCAGCCGCAGACGACCGTCAACCCTGACCGCATGAAGCAGGTTTCTTCCTGACTGCACCGCACCTGGCGCTCAAGCCGCGTTCCCACCGCACGCGGTCGCTCGTCACGAGTCGCGGCCGTAGCTTCGGCGACGTTCGTCATCACGTCGGCCGCGGCCCACTCCGCCGCTTGGGCGAAGGCCTCCTCAAGCCGCCACCGCCGCCTCTCACGATCCGCGCGACGCAACGATCCATCCAGCTCTGTCTCCTGGGTGGACGTCCTCTCGTGGACTCGAACCCATTCCCTTGGCTGTCATCCCGCGATCGTTCTTGGCCATAGTCCATCATCCCTTCTAGCTACGCGTCCCACCCAAGCCAACTTAACTTTTCCGTGCGGTTCGAATGATACCATTAACCTAATCCGTGGGTTCCTTCTTCTGTCTCCCAATTACAATTCCAAGCGCGCGTTTTCTCCACGCTCCCGCGCACCTTTTTATTGTTTCTATATTTGCAGTCATGACTGCGTTTCTGAATACGTCGCAGCAGGTAAAACACACCAACGTGAAGCCCTCTTTTGTGGGAGCATTGCTAAGTTACTTTCCATTGTCAAGCTCAACCTCCCAGAAGCACACTGCTTAACAAGCGACATCATCGCTCGTTAAATACAGCTGGAACAAAGATTCGAAAGGAATGTACATTTTCCGGGACGCTCACGATGGTAACTCTCAGGCAAGATGACGTGACCTGAAAGTTTTAATAATGAGAGGGTTACCCGCCCTTGGATTGACCACTCTATTATCCGCACCGCAGAAACAATCCGGAAACCTTGCCTGTATTGGGTGGCCTCCGAAGATGTGGAAGCTCTGAACGTAATTGCTGTTCAGATTAGGAAACCCTCTTGCAGTCTTGCAGAGCCATGTAAAAAGAAAAAACCTTGATTGAGCCAATCAGGAGGGGGGGGGGAGGTTTCTGTATACATTTTCAAATGCGTTTCTGCGACAGTCTGGAATGCTCTTCCGATGTTTGGAAGCCACTGGAGCTGTGCACTTTAAATCTAGATTTAAAACTAGTTTTCCTTTGAACGCTTATTGTGCTAGGTTTGTTCTTCCCCCACACCGCCGATTGCCGCGGTTTGCTACATATGGCAGGAAAGAAATTCAACATACATACATATGATGATAGGGTTTTCCCCTTTTTTTCTGGCAACAAAACAGGTGTTAAGATGTTAAAACACCAAACTGAAACCTTTTACAAGGAATCATGTCTGCATTAACCACAGAATGCAAACGAAAAATATACTCTGATAATATGTGAATTGTCTTTGAAACTGATTGGTCCACACCAGAGACAGCTTTCTTTCGAGCCTCGTCTTAAACGGTGTTAGACCAGAGGACGCCAAAAGGCGTACACAGCCCAAAGACAATGCCACTATCAGAGTAATGAGAGCTCTGGGTGAGCAGCTACATCATGGGATCTCCTTTGCCGCTACCAAAATATGAGAAGAGGTTTTCCCCTTTTTTTCTGGCAACAAAACAGGTGTTAAAATGTTAAAACACCAAACTGAAACAAACATATGTTTCAATCCTAAATGTCATCCCCGGTTTAATTTTAAGGATGAATTTTACTTCGTGGTTTGTGAATGTTTAATTTGTTTGGCATATTCATATACAAATTGTCCTTGACAGCAGCCCTAAAACAGCCAGATACCAGCCGCATTCGAATGCAAGCTTAAGATCTATGCATCACGATATAAAACTACAAATAAATAAAATGAGCCACTCTTTTGTTTGTGTACGTGACTAATCCTTGCAGTATCCTGTTCACAAAATGCGTTGGCTGTCACAAAGAACAACTGTCGACCCCCCTCTGTTTTTTGTTTCTGTTTTTTCAGGCAAAGATCTTGGTCCCAAACAGCACCGCTGGCCTCATCATCGGTAAAGGGGGCGCAACGGTGAAGGCCATCATGGAGGCATCTGGCTCCTGGGTGCAGCTCTCTCAAAAGCCAGAGGGCATCAACCTCCAGGAACGTGTCATCACGGTCAGCGGTGAGGCCGAGCAAAACCAGAAGGCCATTGAGCTTATCCTGCAGAAAATCCAGGAAGATCCGCAGAGCAGTAGCTGCCTCAATATTTCTTACTGCAACCTGTCGGGTCCCGTCGCCAATTCAAACCCGACGGGGTCACCGTACGCGAATTCGGCGGAGATGCTGCCCGGCTCGGCGATGGCCGCCGGTCTGCTGGGCCAAACCAATCTGGCCACGGTGGCCGCCTTCCCCACCCTCGTGTCGGGCTTCAACGGCAACGACCTGGTGGCCATCTCTTCGGCCCTCAACACACTGGCCAGCTACGGCTACAACCTAAACCCTCTGGGCCTAGGGGTCAGCCCCGCCGGGGCGACCGGCATGCTCGCTGCGGCGGCCTCGAGCTCCAACCCCGCCGCCGCCGCCGCGGCAAACCTGCTGGCCAGCTACGCCAGCGAGGTGGCCGGGGTGGGGCCCGGCTCCGCGCATTTTCCCCTGGGGGGGCTTTCCGCGTCCGCCCTCACCAACGGATATTTCGCGTCATCGCCCCTGACGGCGGGCGCCATTCTCACCGCGGAGAAATCGTCGGAGGCGAACAAGGACATGATCGAGATCGCCGTCCCCGAGAATCTGGTCGGTGCCATCCTCGGCAAAGGCGGAAAGACGCTCGTGGAATACCAAGAACTGACGGGGGCGCGCATCCAGATCTCCAAGAAGGGAGAGTTTATCCCTGGGACGCGTAACCGGAAGGTGACCATCACGGGGACAACCGCCTCGACGCATGCCGCTCAGTATCTCATCACGCAGCGCATCACGTACGAGCAAGGCGTCCGGGCTAGCAACCCGCAGAAAATTGGTTAGGCCCGCCTGCTATTCTTGTGACCAACAAGTTAATGCAACGGTAAAAAAAAAAACCTTGACTGATCCAGTTTGGGGGGGAGGGGGTGGGGGGGGGAGAGGTAGTAGATGGGGGAGGAAGGTTTCTGTTCAAATTAACAGATACTGCTCAATAATTAATTTCATCATCAGTTTCATCTTTGAGATACATTTTACTTCATCGTTTGTGAATGTTTATTTTTGTTTGGCATATTCATATATTTCTGCTGACCTCAAAAGTGTTACTTTTCACAATTTTAATTTTGAAACTGCGTTGATTAAGACTTACTTGGTCGTATCAGCGATTACACTTTATAACCGAAAAAATATATATTTGCCTAAATATGACAAATGTCAAATGCGTGCAGTCGCTGTTGTATTTAGAATTATGTTGTGAGCCAAGTTACTTTAAGCATCAGGATACAATTAGTCCCCATTTCTGTGACAATCACGTGACACACCTGCTCCGTAAAAGCGCTGTAAATACTGGCGGTGATGAAACAAGCCCCCATTTATGGCTGAAGGGCTCACGCCACTGAATGTCAATCAAGTTGAATGTTACATTTGTAGAAATGCGATTTCCTTCCTTTTTATGTTTTGTCATTCCTTGTTTTTAATATTGTGTACAAAATAATTAAATTAATTTGTAAAAAAAAAAGAACAAATTTGATTCTTACTTTAAACTACACATTTATTATCGCAGTTACATGTTTGTATTTCTTTATAAGAAAAAAAGGTTACTTTCTGATTAACGGTGTCTAAATAGCGTTAAACGAGCAATGCATTTCAACTTCAGGAATTATTTAAATTCACGCGACTCCTTAATTGTAATGTTGCAATTATGCTTTACCCTTGGGAAAACCCGAAATGACGGCCACTCTCCGCCACATTCACACCTAGCCACGTGGCCTCACATACCCCAATTCGCACATTCATAGCCTTCTGCTCTGCAATGTATAGAAAATATAAAAAGTTTCACACAAGATTTTATATTTAAAATTAAAAAAAAAAACGCAGGGTCGTGCATTAAATGAGGAAAGCCAAAAAAGTGATCAAATCTCTATGCTTAACCGAGCAATGGGGGCAGTATTCATTTCCATTGGATGGCCGAGCTAGAGCTGTAAATTCCACATTCCCATGGAGGGTTCTCATTTCCTCCAAAGGACAACTGTTGCTGTACAAAAGAGTGGTGCTCAAACATTACCGCATTAATATTAACGCCAAACTAATCCATGGGTCACTCATTTTACTGGTGCATGCAAACATTGCATTCGATGTCTGGTTATATATGTTAGATTAATTATCAAACCACAGTGTACTGGAAACATTCAGGGTACCCATTGTTTTGGCTGGGAATACACCAGAAGCGAGCGTGTAATATAAATTGTGCAGAGTAAGCTCCAACAAATACAATTCGATTTTTAAAGGATAAATGATCGGTGTGAATAATAATCCACGTATGATTTTTCTTTCTCCAAGAGCCCAAAGTCTCCCCAGTTCCGTGGAGTTTAGTTTTTTTGTTAAAAGTGCCGGATAATATACCGTTATCAATCATAAGTCAATTGATGGAAAATCCGACTCTCATTACTCATTCGTCTCCACCAAGCTGCTTCAGCCATGTTAACCTACTCATCACCAGGCTTTTTCTCATGCAAATGTCACATCTATACACACATCATCATCATGTGTCATTTGTCAAACACTGGTGTTTAATGCGACTCATAGATACTTATTGATGTACTTTAAAACCCATAAACGTGGGTAAACTATAATGTGATTTCTCAACCAAAAGTTATTGGTCAGTTTCCGTTGTCATTTTACATGTTTTAACGTGAATGGTTTTACGCTAGCAGTTGTTGGTGGCTATAAACACGGTTTTGTTATCGTAATACAGTATTGTGTATGTAAATGTTCTAGATTACGTGACACGAATCAGGAAATGCTAACTGCAGAACAAAGTATTTATCCTATAGTTAATTGCAGGTGCCAAAATAAAAATGGAAGTGCCCAAGCTTCCGGTCGCCGCAAAAAAAAGAAATGCTCGGCTGCAACGAAGTGCATTATGGGATACGGAAACGATGCACAGCATGTGCAGCGCCAGATACGGTAGCTTTATAAAGTCCGATTACAATGTATGCCGTTACCGGAGCAACCTGTTAAACCAACTTGAGAAGTGCGGATGTAATGTTCCCTATAATGCCTAACGTAAGAACTACTTGTACATAATAAAATGACGGTGACATTTTGATAAGGCATATTAATATTTAACGAATATACTGAGAAATAAATGTATCCTTGTGATGCAGTAAAAACGGCTTCTAGGAGATATTTAAGGCCATCAGCACCAATACTTTTCACTTTCCAGTTCCCCACTACTGGATTACGGGTTGATTGAAGGGCTTAATACATGTGACAAAAAATCATACAGACAAAAAAACGAATTAAATGTCAGCCGCACTGTATTTATATTTGTACATGAACAACACATTACACTGCAAAATAAGAGTTTATCTTCGAAGACCATCAGGCACAGTTTAATGCTCATTTTGCACACACACACTTCTTATGAGCACATTAATTGTTCAGACAATAAGTTTTGCACAATTACAGAAAATTTACGAAAATGCACCGAGGTGCCTAAAACAGTATTGTTGTTCTTGTCGAACCTAGAACCACTAAAACTGCCATGATGAGGTCTTGCCGTGGCTCTTGGGGGCTTACACTGAATCCAAACACTAAGCAATGATCACCTAAAGTCTGAGCTTCAATCTGGGCCACCAGCCATAATTAAAACTGGGTTCTCAAACGTACATTTGGACAAGGCTTAATTCGCTGTTTTCCAGCATTGAAGGCTTAAAATCATTTTTGTTTGGCAGGCAACAATTATCACTTCAACAGGGCATGTGTGAAAGGGCAATGCCCCAATTGAAGGGACATGATTAGTAGTTATGTGATGCCCCCCACCCTTCCAGAGGCTGTTCTCTAACACAGTGACGCACTGCTTTTTACTCGAGTTCTGAATGGAACAATGTTCATGCCGTAACATATCACCGATGGCACAGCTGATCATCGCACGATATGAATATAATCCAGGCTTAAGACACAAAAACGTGCACCATCCACATGTATGATAAAAGCCTGACCTTGTAATGGTTATTAATTGCATTTTAAAAGCTTGCCCTGCTTGGGCAAGAAGGGCTTATTAACAAAGGGGAGTTATAACAATGGGCAAAGTCAGAACAATGACATCATGCACTACAGGTGTGCAAGGACCTGGAAACTCCTATCTCGTGCACATTACTCCGGCCTCTCGTGCCTCATCAGAAATTACTCGGAAACCTCCTTTGGCCTTCATCGTGGAAATATCTCTGCCTCTCTTTGCAGGTGCCCAGAGCAGGCATTCATAGCCTCGCTCCCTTATGCCATCAATCACCTGCGCGGCATGGTCTCTTCGACAAAACGAATCAGGATGCCATTCTTCTCGCGAGCGAAAAATCGCTTGGAGATTTCATAAGGGGTGCCGCGTTTTTAAATTGAATACAAAAAAAACAATGCTGCTTATCAAGAGAACACCAATTTTTGTTTTATCACCATCGACCATTTCTGAAACTTTCTTCACATACTCCTGCCCATCACCACAGAATAAATGAAAAACACTGAATAAACTTAAACTATTCACGTATTCATTCGTGTTCGAGCTGCACAGGACGAGGACTTAATGAGGCATAGTTATTGCCTTGATTCAACTTAACAAAGTTGTGGCTCTTCTCTGGTTAAAAAATAATAATGCCACACAAGCCACCAACCAGCTAGACAAATCACAATGCATTTTGATTTCACTGTCACAGAAATTGTCGGTTACATAATTACAGTTCTTAAATAATAATAAAAACTTAGATTTTTATACCACATGTAAAAAGCCCTTTGTTGCAAAACTCAAGATGTGCCAAACTGCGATGTGCCAATGAATATTGTGAGTGTTTCCATGATATGTAACACATATTTGGCTGCCATTTAATTAGCCATTGCATATTTGAAAAAAATTATTGGGTTAATCCAATGACAGTATCGTATGCATGCTTACTTTTTTCTGCTCCTGCATCCTTCACGTGCGTGGGATTTTTTTTATTCTTTTGATCACTGCCAACCCAACTGAAGGCACATTAAGTTCCACTGTATGCATGCTAACGTGATGTACGTAGCGCTGTAGTTTATGTCAGTCGACGGGGGGCAACAACAACAACACAAAACCACTGAGCGCGCACAACCCGTTAAAACGCCAAGGTTACTTTCCGGTGGCACAACGTGGCCGTGGCCACAAAAGGCCACCGTGGTGCACAGCCGCTCGTTCTCTCGATCCGTGAACTCTGCGCTGACCCTGCACAAAGATTCATTTCAGGAGGCGCCGTGCGTACGCTTTCGCATCGGCGTTGCCGAGGGCATTTCAAGCCGTCCCAGCCCAGGGCTATGTCCCCCCCCCCACTTCCGCAAACCACCTAACGCGCAGTCCATGCTGGCACCGCAGAGGGCATTGCTTCTCTCGTCCAACGATTGTGCCACTTAGGTCAACGGTAGCGCCTGGAGAGGATTGACAACAAAAATGCGTGTGTGTGTTATGTACGTTTAATTTCACTGTTAATTCTTGATGTTATTGTTATTTGGCCACGCAAATGTAATTTGTTTCTGGGAATGATCAGTGTTAACAAAAAAAAGAAATACATGACAAACGTGTGAAGTCATTTTACTGTTATAAATGTGCTTTAATCATCACCTGCATTCAGTGTCTTCCGTCTCATTATTTCCCTGCATGTCACGACGTCCCATTTAACACATTGCTCACATCACCACCATGGAAGGCGAAACTAATCGCAGCAGCCAGCAGCAGCTACAGGTTGCATCCTGGAAAACAAAAAATCCGCGTTTAATAGTTGCCAATGAACACGCGATGGGATGTATTTTTCTGCAGGCTTGGTGCACATTGAAAGCTTTTCGTAAGAGGGGAAGATCACGCACACACACTTGGAGAAAAGGTGACCTGACAGTCGTTTAAATGCTGCTACAGCGCGGCCATCACAGTACCCGTTACATGACAACGGAGAGGGAATATTTTTTTATTTAAAAACAAACAACCGCATCGCGTAGCCGGCAAAAAAAACGCCCCGCTGATTTGTTTACATCGAAAATGGGACCGATACGAGCGTAGAAATATATATTTTTAAAGATATATATTTTTTGTGAGATTACAAATGGGCACAATTCAGTGTTTGGCTCTGAAGTGTAACGTCACACTGCCTCAAAGCGTTGTCAAATTGCCCGTCGTGTGTCTCGAACTTCTGGCCCGTGACCTCGCCGAGACCGCAGGAGCGGTTCGGTTCACGTTACATTGAATTTTTATTTAAAGCTTTCGTGACTGCAGGGATTCATATTCTTGGTTCTTTTGGTAAAGTCACGTAGAAGGGAAACAATAAAATAGTAAAAATATGAAACAATAAAATTCTCACGACGTTTCGACTGCAACACAAGCAATCATCATCAGGTGTGAAAACCACAGCAAGAAAATTTGAAAAAGTGGCGTTTTTTAACGTTGGCACCACGGAGAGCGATTTGGCAGTTTGTTAAGATGGGGAGACGAAAATAATGGATGCGGTCTGATAGACCACCTTAAGCGTGAACAATCAATTAAAACCCGAAATGGTTTATCAAATCCTTCCAATGATTGCTAAGCCAGAAACCATCTTCTCGGTTGAAATTGTCTCTGTGTTTGTATATGTGGATAGCCTCATGAACGAATCTCTCATGGTAGCCAGATGGCTTGCAGAGAACCTCTGTCTTGGAGAAGTCAATGTCATGTGAGCCTACTGAATTATAACAGTGATCTGCCATGGCCGAGGAGTTGGTCCTACCCTGTTTTAGGTCTGCTTTGTGTTCACGGATGCGGTCTGAGACATGTCGTTTGGTTTCTCCAATGTAACTACTCCCACAGAGGCAACTTAGTTTGTAGACACCAGGGTACTGTATGTCTGGAATCACATCTTTTACAGACGGAACCAGATCACGGATTTTATGTAATGTGTTGAATCGGACCTGGATCTTGTGTTTATTCAAGATTTTGGAGATCTTTTTTGTGATCCCCGCAATGTAGGGTAAAGTGATGGTTTTGAATGGCTCCTCAAGAGGGTCCTTCTTCATGGTTGGAGTGATAGCTTTGCGGATTGTGTAGTCGGAGTAACCATTAGCCTTAAGAGCTTGGTGTATGTGCTTGAGTTCACTGGCTATGTGTTCCTGGTCGGATATGCATTGGGCTCTCTGGTGCAGAATCTTGATGAGGGAATTCTTCTGCGATGGATGGTGGTGGGAATCCGGTTTCAGGTAAGCATCCGTATGGGTAGCTTTCCTGTAGACAGAGTGGCTCATTGAACCATCAGGTCTCTTTTTTATTAGGAAATACAAAAAGGTAGCTTGCCATCTTTTTATCTGCAGCGATGTGACCCAGGCCCTTGAGAGCCACGTCTACTTGGGCAATGATATCATAAACTGGTATTTGTTTAGGTGTGACTGCAAAGTTTAGCCCTTTAGCTAAAACGGATTTCAGACCATCGGAAATAGAACTGTTACTGTGATTAATTACGACTTTGTTAACGTCTAGCTTTTTGGTGTGTGGGTCCGGTCTTTTGTTGGAGAGGAGGTTAAATTGGAAATCAGGTTGTCCTTACATTTGGTCGACATAGTGGCAGCTGAAGAGGCAGTCATATTGTCTACATGTTCCCAATCCGATGGGGACATTGTTGCCGTCAATGATAAGTGTGACACCATCGCAATCATTGAAGACTTAATAAACTAAAATCTGATTCTGAAGACGCAAAAAACCCAACCCACATGCAATGTAGCCATTGCCGCCAATCTCAAACAATGTAAGCATTCTAAATATTTAATATGACGAACGATCAACACCCAAAACGCATATTTTTGAAGAGAATAGATGCTTTTTTATTGTTAGCGACTTTGTCGGAGTGACATCATCTTAAATAAATGAGTCCACCTTAACAAACAAGGCCTAAGGCCTAACCATGTGCCCGCTTAACTAGGCCCTAGCACACATTTGTGTAACCAAAATGCTTAACAAATACATTACGCCGCAAATATCAATAAAACAAATGTTGTGTTCCACAAAGTCGTCACGCACCTGCAATGTGATAAAGCTCGGTCATACCGTGCTTCACTCCCAAAATTGTGAATAAAACATCCGTTAAAAAATATATAAACCAAGTGATGAAAAATAACCACTCATTTAACTTGAATAAATGCAACGTTATCGACATATTCTGGTTAATTATGCATTACAAATAGGGATTACTCAGATTTAATGTGTAAAATAAAAATTCACAGTGCACGTGACTCACCTCCAACATGCACTATGTGGTTCTTGAGCCGAACGCGCCTCCTCACCGACTGCCAATTGGAAGAGGCAAAGCCAAATACGTGGATGTTTGTTGGGTGGATGTCGCGGTAACACGACACAAATAGCAGGGGGGGGGGGGGGGGGTGGAGCATTACGAACCGTGAACCAAACCCGAGTTCTTCAATTTGCTTTCCAGTTTGCGGATTTGGCGATTTGCGGATAGTTGATTGCGGCTATTTTGAGTTCGTAAATTGTAGATTTGCCGATTGCGACTATTTTGATTGCGGCTATTTTGAGTTCGTAAATTGTGGATTTGCCAATTGCAGCTATTTTGATGGCAGCTATTTTGAGTTCGTAAATTGTGGATTTGCCGATTGCGACTATTTTGATTGTGGCTATTTTGAGTTCGTAAATTGTGGATTTGCCAATTGCAGCTATTTTGATGGCAGCTATTTTGAGTTAGTAAATTGTGGATTTGCCGATTGCAGCTAGTTTGATTGCGCTATTTTGAGTTAGTAAATTGCGGATTTGCCAATTCTGGCTAGTTTCAAGGCGACGGGCAAGGGTTTGCCGTAGTTTAGAAATGAGGCCAGCGTTTCAGTTCAGAAGTCCTTCCAACCTTTGTTCCACTGTTTAGTCCAGACCCCCTCGCCTGACAGCCGACAACTGAAAGCAGGTGGCCCCCATGGGTCCTGGATGTCTTTGAAGCCTGAAACGAAAAGAGCCATATCTCTCGGTGGCTGATAGGAGCCAGTAGCGTCGCCTGCGAAAGTCAAGCGGTAACTTGAGTACTACCTCGGCGAGGCTCGCCGCGTGTCTCAAATCTAATATCATTTTATATTTATATAGGGCGCCTTCACTCAAGGCGCTTTACATAGCGAAAAATAATGGCGACACAGTCGAATTGACTTAGATGGCAAGGGCGTGCAGACCGCAATAGAGGGAACTTAGGGATCAGAATGAAAGGGTTCATGGGAAGAAGAGGAAGTAGTGGAGGTGCAAGGGAAGAGAACTGAGTGGGCAATAGAGGAGAAGTAAAAGGGTCGCGTCTCAGCTGACGCGAAAACATGACTGCCTTGTCAAACTATACTACGTCTCTCACCAGCCCCTGTGACACCACAGACACGGGTGGTGGTGGTTGTGGTGTCACAGCGTGGCCAGCTGGCTGTCCAAGAGAGCCAGACATCCTTCCTCAACAGCCAGTATGTCTCAGCAGTCACAAAGGTGAAGATGGTTCGCCGGTCAAACATTGAGACAAACTGCAAACTCCAGAATAGCTGTCAACCCGTACGGTTTACCTGTATTCTTGTACAGGGAAAATAAGTTTTCACAGCGTAAAGCCGTTTCAATACGGGGATTTGTTTTGCCTAGTTGTTTGTGTTTCTCCCTTGTGATGGGACTTTGTAGAGTGAACGTTGAGATTTATAAAGGCACGGAGTGACCAATAAAGTCTGAATTGGTCTGTAATAAGGTAGGGCCCTGATAAGGGGTTGACAGGTATGAGAATAGGTGAAGCACTGTTACGAAGTGGACAGCGGTTACACAGTAAGGATGAGTAAGCCTGATTCCCTTAGTAGAAACAAAGTGTGCGCAGGTTAAAATAGTTATATGGTGGCCTTTGCAGAGGCAAAATAGGAACAAGTTATACATTAAGCTTGTCAAGTTGGAAATAGTTAATATGGTTCCCTTCCCAAGGGAAAAACATGGATTGTTAAGTAATTTACCATGTCAAAATTGGAAAAGAGTCAATGTTTCTTTTTCTAATCTGATATAGATTTATATTCATCCAAGGCACTTTACAATAATTCTACACTTGTACATTACATGATAGTCGTTAAAACAAAAGTGGCTGTGTAGCTATGGTGACAGTAAGGGGGACAGGTGGCAGTGGGTAAGGAGGGTTTGTGGTAGGGTTTGGGATAAGCCTGGTGGTAGCTGGGGGGCCGGGGCAGGAAGTAGCAGTACCAAGATAGGCAAGGGAGAAGAGACGAGGGTTTTAAGAAAGGGACAGGGGCAGTACAGGGAAAGTTATTGTTTAATGTGCAGTGGGAGTTTGTTCCAGTTAAGGGGGCCAAGAACGCAAAAGGAAAGAAGCATGACTGGGCGCAGGGTGATGGGAGGCACAGAGCGGGACAGTAGGGATTGGGAGCGTAGAGGATGGGATGGGACAGTAGTGAGAGATTTAAGAAGCAAGATATAGTGGGGGAAGACCATGGAGGCATTTGTAGACGAGAGTGAGACATTTAAAAAGACAGCCATAGAAGACAGGGAAAGTAGAGCAGAAGTGTGGAAACTGTGGGGGAGGTTAAAAATGACCCAGGTTGAGGCATTTTTAATCTGTTGTTAGAGAGGAGTGAAGGCATAGGTGGAAAGGTAG